TTATTTTTTAAAAAATTTTTATTATTTTATAATTTAATAATTTAATTTAAAATTAATATTTTTATTTCAGATCGATATATTTAGCTAAAATTATCAAAAATATAGGATTCATATATATTTATTTCAATTCATTAAATTAGATAATGTTGGAGTCAAGCAATTTATTAACTTCGTCGCCTGAAAATAATGAAAATCACGAGAAATTAATGAAAGAGAATTACACAAGAAATTTACTTTCGTCGACAACTTCAACAACAAATACAAATACAAATACAAATAATAGTGAATCGAGTATAACGCTATGGCAATTTTTATTGGAACTATTATTGAAGGGACAAAATAATGATTGTATACAATGGATACAAAGTAAAGAAGGCGAATTTAAAGTAAGTTACTTATTTATTTTAAAAATAATTTTAAATTAAAAATGAGTTAGTTATTTATTTGTTTTAAAAGTTTATTACTATTTATATTTATTATTATTTTTTTATTATTATTATTATAATATTTAATATATTTATTATAATATTTTATTATTATTGTTTTCTATTAATTAAATGTTTTGTTTTTTTTCTAATCCTTAAAATTTAATTTTTTTTTTTGATATTAATTTTTTCAAAATTAAAATTAACTTATCAAATTCGTTTAAAATTCTTATTTAAAAATTCATTTTATTATTTTTTCAGCACATTTTTTATTTGAAATATTATTTATATCAATATATTATAATATTATAATATATATATTAAAATGATAATAAATAATGTTAAAATTTTTTAATATTTAATAATATAATAACTTCTGAGAAAATTTATAAATATTTTAGCAATTTTTTATGAATTATAAATGAAAGTTAGTTCGAATTATAAGATAAAATAATTATAAATAATACAAATTCATAAATCATAAATCAAAATTGTTGGCTTATAATCGTGGCGACATATTTGAAATATTATAACCAAAGGGCAAGTAGCATAAATTCGATTCTTTTCTTCTTTTTTTTATGTCTGGAATAAATCCCAATGATTGTCCGATATTTAATATCTTTTTTATAGTTTATATATAGTTCTAAAAGCTTTCATCATTACTGATTAGGCTGGCTCCGCTGGCTACAAGGAGAAGACGTCTCCAAGCCGCCTGGTCCGACGCCATCGCTAGTAGTAATAGAAGCCAATGCTTTTTCCATCATCTGAGTTCATGTATCGCTAGTCTTCCTATACATTCAAAATCTTTCCTGAGTTTATTAGCCCAGGTCTTGACGCAAACCATCACAGAGTTCAGCAAGTAGCGAAATATGTGTCGATTCTTGTGGTGGACGACGAAGAACGAACGTGCCTAACCACCGAAGGCGACGCTCGTTATTTTATATTTGCTAAAAATGGCAAATTTTATTTCATTTTTCTCTCATGATTCATTTGAGAAACTTTGGAAAATGCAAAGTTAAAACCCATATGGTTTAGATTTAGTTGAATTATAAATGAATTTCATGAGGATTAGTAAAAGTTTTGATTGACAATTGTAAAAGCGGATTTCAATTTATCATTTATCAATTTTTTTGGCTTATATAAATACTCAAATAAACCGATGATTTACTGAATTTTATCTGCAAAGGATTTCTATTTAATGATTTGGAAGTTTTTTTTTTGCTTTGGAAAGAGAAAAAAGGGAAATTATCATGAACAAGAAATTTAGCCATCTGATAAGCTATAATAGAGAATTGTTTCATATTTGGCTCGTTTGTGATGTAAAAGTCTTTGAAAAATAAAAATTCGCATCTACCAGGCTGGGATATAGTTCTGTGAAAAATGTCGTATCATATCCATATATCCCTTTTGATAATTTTTTCTATAATACTTCTTCCCCATCTTCCATATGATTTATGTGCATTAGCCTAAGACTTTTTGTGAATCCTTGTCTTTGTTTTAAAATGACAGATAATTCAGATCAGATTCAGTTAAAATGTATTATTGTTAATGCGTTCAAAATTGCTACATTCTCTAAGTACCAAAGGATAAAAAAGTGAAAAATGGATCCTTTCGATACTTTCATTTTGCTAGCGGCCTTGACCTTATTAGTATCATTTGAAACATAATGTAAATTAATCGATTTTCGTTTATATTTAGCGTGTTATTCGTCCATAAATTATACGATTTGATTTATCCTTGGAATTCGACTCAATTCGTGTTTGTAAGGTTTAAGTCGATTAGGGTTTTTTTTTTTTTTTACCACATCTCCGTATTAATAATAGAGTAGAAATGGCCTATTGTTGGTAAGGCTATTTTCATGGTTATAGGAAATTAACCTATTTGTGATGGATGTCATTAAAAGCGTAGAAAAGCGACAAAAGCGACTTCAGAGGAGGTTGGAAAAAAAGAATGACTTGAGAGTTATTTTTAGAATCGTCATCGGATGGAAGCTTGGAAAAACTGCAGAATTTCTCTAATCGCTAGTAGGGCCAAGCAAATTGGCAAATTATGTTGATAAGCTAAAGAACGACATGAGAAATAGATGGATTTAAAGTAAAGCAACAAAATCGAAGAGACGTTGATCATGATTAATTTAAAAATAGAATTATAAGGATTCCATAATTTTTTCATTAACAAGAAAAGGGTATTCCATATTGGAAGCCAAACTATGATCATAGTCTTCTTTATGACTTTCTTCGATTTTTCTATTTTTCTTAATCGCTCTCACCATTACTGGTTAGACTTGTTCCACTGATGACTTTAAGGATTTTTGATTCTTCTGATCGCAGTGGATGGCAATGATCGTCTCTTGAATTGTCTAATAAATTGTAAATGGGGATGGAATGGCTCAGTGGGTTGTTGCTTAATTGAGAGCGCCGATGCTGAGGTTCGACTCCCCGCAGGAGTAAACCTGTCCAAAAATCCGGGTAATGGTGGCGACTCACCTGTATTTCTATCGCTGAGAGACTCCCTAGCATATTGCTGAATTGCGACAAGCCAATGGAGCGAGTTTAACCAGTAATAAAGAGGACTCTTAAAAAGAAAAAAATAAGTTTCAGCGACGAGAACAAATGCAATAGTACAATTTTATAAAACATTATTATGTTATGGAAAATAAAACAACAAAAATCTATCCCTTAATATAATTTGCTTGGTAACTATTGGCGTAATTATAATGAAAAAAATTAGCAGTTCCAAGACCTTAATTTTATCTTTAGTTTTGATAGGAAGAATGGCTAAATAATGATGCAGTTATCATCGATTTAATTCTCGTAATTCTTGATAAGAATTATCAATCCAGTGAAAAAAAAATTAGCTGGTCAATTTTAATGCTTTAATTTATCATTGCCTTTTATCATTCAATAGATGAAAAAAGTGGTTAAGCAATAGAATTAGCCAATAAGTAAATGCTTTCGAGCAAATGGTCAAATAGAATTTGATAGCGGATTTCGAATATAAAATGTAGCCGAAGTTTATCACTTAGCTTTTTTCAAAATTTTTTAAAAAATTGATAAATTCCAAATAGCAATGATAATGTTATTGATCATTCAGCTTGAGGCGTATTTCCGATCTTTTTATCGTATTTAAAATATCTTATATATTTTCATCCTGTAATTTATAAGTTATTACCATATATATGTATACCAGATATATGGATATATTGGGGGCAGAATGGCTTAGTGAGTTATTGCTCAATTGGGAGCGCCGATAGTAAGGTTCGATTCCCTACAGGAGTAAACCTGTCCAAAAATCCGGGTGATGCTGGCGATTCACCTATATTTCTATCGCTAAAGAGCCCTCTGGCATATTTTTCCAATGCGACAAGCCAGTGGAGCGAGTTAAACCAGTAACGGTGAAAACTCTTAAAAAAAAAATTAGAAATGGTGCATATTTGAACGATTTGGAAATACCTTACCATTTTTTAACATTTAGAATCAGCCTAATCAGTAATTTTGCGAACTATTAATAGGTAAAAAAAAGAGGAATTAAAATAGCAATATTTATTTATTTATTTACATTGTTTGCCTTCCCGTTCCTTACAATTTTAGCTAATTTTAGCTATCAAATCACTGTAAAGGCAAAAATTAAAGTTGAGATCGATCCACTTCAGCCACCATTAATATTGCCATTAATATTGAATCTCAAAAGCTTTCTTCACTTTTATCACCTTTTTATTGCCTTCGTTTCTTTTGTTCGTATTTTTTTCGTGTTATATTTTATATCATTAAATTTATTCTAGTGAAACATAATGTTGATCGTAATCAGTTGAGAATAATCAGTTAATCACTTATCACTTATTTTATGCTTTTTTTTATTTGCTCAAAATTCATTTATTTCGTTTTTATTTTTGAATAAAATTTAATTACCCAAATTTTAGTTGTTGAAAATTTTATTAGTTTGTGAATACTAGGAAATGCTAGGGAATCATCTCTAATAGAGTCACTTGGCCCATACGTAGGCGTTGTGGTACAATTATTTTTGTACATTTAATATTTCTTCTATATTTTGGCTAATTTTTATTTTTATTGTTATTTACATAAATGCTAATAACGCAATTTTCAATTAGCGACACTAATTGTTATAATTTATTATATAATAAATATAAATTATATAATATATAATAATATATATAATATATAATAAATTATATTTATTATATAATATATAATAAATATAATTTATTATATAATAAATATTATATAAATTTGATTAATTTATTAATACCAATTAGAAATATTAAATACCAATTTTTATTAAATATTTGTTTAATTATACTATTTCATTTTAATTTAAATTAAATTAAATCTTATTGAAACATTATTTAAATCATATTGTATTATTATTTACTTTACAATAAAATATTATATTACAAATAAATTAAATATTTTAAAAAATACCTAAATAATTGAAGAAATAAAATTTTGAAATATTACAATATTTCATAATTTCTAGGAAATAGATTTTTGATTGATATTAATCGAGAAAATAAATATTTGCAGTTAGTTAGTTGTTGGTGAAAATTTTGCACGCTTTATGAGAACAACTGAGGGGGTTAAACCCGCAGCAAATGAATAAATTTTAAAATAAAATAAATAAATATTTGCAGTTAGTTGATGCAGAAGGTGTGGCACGTTTATGGGGACAACGAAAGGGTAAACCGCAAATGAACTACGATAAACTTTCACGTGCATTACGATATTATTATGATAAAAATATTATTAAAAAGGTTTATTAAATTTGAAGAAAAATAAAAAAATATTAATAAAATTTAAATCAAGAAAAAGGGAAATAAATAAATAAAAGAAATTTAATACAAAAAAATTAACATAAAATAAAATATATGAAAAAATCAGAAAATCAGAAAATTTTATCAGTGTTATTATTAATCTATTGCGAGGATTTTTTTTTAATGTTATTTTTCTGAAAAAAAATTGGAAAAAATAAATATGGAGAATTCGAAAAATGAAACAAATTTTCCAGTGGTTAATAGTAAAATTCTAAATTTTAGGATGATAAATTAGAACTTATAAATTTTATTCATTTTATATATATATATTAGGAATAGCTAAGATACTGCGTAGAACCCTCAATTTTCCAGGTCTCTGGTAGAGGGCTCAAGGTTAAGGGTGATCGTGACCCACTCATAGGGAATAAGAGAATAGTTTAATTTTCTTGCAATTTTTTATATTTTAATTTTTAATTATTTATTGCATAATTTTCAAGGTGATTGGACAGAAATTCGTTTACCGCTTCGTTGGTTGTCCGGAAGGAACAAGTGAAAATTTTAAATTAGCATTAAGTCAGCTACTTAATGAAAAATCAAGCGATTCATCATCAAGTACGTATTGATTATTTTAAATTTATTAAAAATAATTTTATCACCGAGTTTTTTTTTCACGAGAAAAAACTTAACATATCAGATTTATCAGATAATACAAGATTTACGACGAATATGAACTCGAAAATTGCATCAACAAACAATTCTTTTCCAACACCAAATAATGCTTCTCAATTATTATATACTGCTCCAACTACTTCAATTTCATCGCCAAATAGGTTTTGCTTTTTTTTTTTTTTTTTTTTAAATATTTGATATAAATAGTTGATGAAAGTAATAGTTGATGAAAAAAAGCTTTAAATAAGTTAGGATTTGCATTTGCAAATTTCACGATTAGCTTATTTTATTTAAACGGAAATATTTAGAAATATTATTTAATTTGCCTACGCTTCTAATAAAATATTTTTTTTAAAAATATTTTTTATTTATAAAATTTTATAAAAAAATTATTTGAAAAAAAGAATTTCGAGAAAATTTTATTTAATGCCATTGCAAAAAATTTTCACAATTATTTCAATTTTTTATACATTTTCATAATGAAAATTTAATTTTTTTTACAAAATATACAAATAAGATTGAATTAAATTTTATTTTATTTTTCCACTTTTTTTTTGACATTTTTTTTTTTTTCATTAATTTTCAGCGTGTGCAGTACGAATAGTGTTCAAAGTATTAGTGGAATAAATTTACAAGATGATATAAAAAAGTCGGCTAGCATAAATCGAAATAATATTAAGCGAAAAAAATCCGAAAGTCCTCGAATTATTCACGCAACAAATGTTAGTAGTGTTGAGGTGACGAGTACGGATTCAATTTCGGATCATGCAATTTCTCAAATTAAGCGTGAACAAACAACAATCGCTTCATGCCTAACTACTTCTTCATCATCATCATCATCACCACCACCACCACCACCGCCATCATCATCATCGTCGTCGTCGTCATCATCGTCGTCGACGTCGTCGCTAAATAATACACCAAAAATTTTTTCGTCAATTAATGAACAACAACAGCAATCTTCTATAGCGTCCACTTCAACAAATTCGCTCTTATTATCAAATAATAACGAATCGACAGCATTAAAAGCAATCACATCGAAGCCATCGTCATCGTCGTTGAAACGTAGCAAACCATCACCGCTTGATCTATCCCTTAATAATCCTATATCACCCGAGAATAATTTAATTATGCATTCACCGGCTGCATATTTCACGAATAATACAGCAGCTGCAGCGGCTGTTGCTGCTGCTGCTGCTTCTGCCCTACCATATCCTTCATCACCATTTTGTAATGTTAATTTTTATCCACAATTCACAAATTTAAGTCCATTTATGATAGCATTAAGTCCATTTAATACAATAAATAATTCACCATTACATGCGCAAAAAACTATGTTTCAATTCCCGCCGCATCCACAAAGTATGGCTAATGTTGCTAAGGCTGTATCAATGATGAGTGTACCGCCGGTTCTTGGTGCGACTATTAATTTAAATAATAATCCCTATGGTAGGACATTTGTTAGTCGAAGTCCTGAAAGTTTAAAAACGCCTGTTGTTCCATTTCCAAAAGATTTATAATTTTTTTAATTTTTAAATTTGTGAAAAAAAAGAAAATAAAATTTTTTTTTTTTTATAATCTTATTTTTTATGAAACAAATATTATTTTTATGTATTTTCATTAAAATTTATTAATTTTTTTTTGTTATTTCCTACAATATATGTATGATTGTTGTCGTCTCGTTTTTTGTTGTTATCAAACGAAGCGGGTACGAAAATTTCGACAATTCTTTCTTTTTTTTTCTTTTTCAGTATTTTATAAATTCATTAGTCTATTTTAGTTTCATATATCTTAAAAATCTATTCTATTCGTTTTTATTTGCTAATGTTGATAATATATATTTTTGAAAGTATAAATTGAATATGTAAGGAGTCCTTTTAAATTGAAAAATTGAGTAGATAATAATTATCATTGATAATAATTATCAGTGATAATAATTATCATTGGTTTCAATTTTAGTTTTTGCCAAAAAAAAGAGAGAAAATTGTGAAAAATTTCTCAGTTACGGGTCATCAAAAAATTTTTTTTAGTGATTATTTTCAAATCAATCCACTCCGATAAAAATAAATTTATGCTTTCTTAATCAATTCAGAGATATCAAATAATTTTTTTGAATGCCTCTAAATTGACCTTTGTGCCTTTATTTTTATATTTTTTTATTTTAGAAAAAAGAAAATATGCCATAATTTTTTTTTTTTGCTTGTATATATTGTAATTGATTTGATTGTTGTGCCTCTTATATTTTTTTAACGGGCAATTTTTTCGTTAGTAAATGAAAATTTTTTATTTTTTTTTTCTTTTTAAATTTTTATTTGTTTTTGTTTAGAAGCTTTTATATATAAATGTCTTAAAATATGAAAGACAATTTTTTTTATCAAAATTTTTGCATAAATAAAGTTTTTTCGATAAGAATTGTTACGTAGCGTTGAAACCGTAATATTTACAGTATCATTTGGAATTTTGAACAAAGAGTGCAACCATTTCAATTTCGTCAGAGAGTATCATTGGATTTTCACTGATAAGACATCCATCATCGTGATTATTTTCTTTTAAGGCTCATTTCGGGAAGAGCATTGTATAATTTGGAGAAATGAAGCTATGCGAAACGGTCGAAATCTCTCTCTTTTTCCACATTTACTATTACTTATATCATATTTAGTGGATATTTATCACTGAACAACTCAGATGTATTTATCCATTTCATTTATGATTATAATGATTATTCAAGTGATAATTGATTATTTGCAAATTATACAAGTAGAATTTGAAAAAATAAGGTAAAAAAAAATATTTAAAAAATATTTAAAAATATTTAAAAATAAAAAATATTTTAAGTTCTTTAAATTTGCTTGGATTTATTATTTTATAATTTTTATATTTATTGTTGTCTTAATATTGTGTCAAGAAAAATAAGACGAAAGTCTATGTGTAAATATTACGAAAAACATAAAAAACATCTGAAAAAAGGAAAAAAATAATTTAGAAAAAAATTTTATGAAAATTTTAAATCTCATAAATCAGATAGATTTTTTGTTATAAAATTGCTGTCATATTAAAATTTTATCTATTGTGTGAATACTATGAATTTATCTAAATTTTTCGTATATTTTACCGATTCTTTTAATCCACTTGTAAATAATATTTTGTCTGTCGAAATATAATACAAATTAATATTGAAGTATTCATAATCATTATTTATTTACATCGTTGAGGTGAAATTATGAAAATTATTAAAGAAATATTGTAGGTTTAATCATAAATTTTAAATTCGAATAGCGATAATGTGTGAATAAATTTCTTAAATAATTTATTTCAATATGAATAACAAAATTTTCAGTTAACTCGAATTAAGCCTTAATTTAGTTCCACAAATAGGCTTTCAGTCTACTATTGGAGGCTATTGGAATTTAAATTAAAATTATAAAATTTATTATCAAGGCCAATATGATAAGGCTATCATGTAAAATTTTCATCAATAAAAACAGTTTATTTTTTAAATTCCTCGAAATCTTGGTGAGTCTAACTGTTATATAAACTCGTCGATAGCTATTAGGTCGATAGGGATTTTTAGATGGTATAAAAAAAATTCCTAAAAATTCCTAAAAAATTCCTAAAAATTCCTAAAATTCCTAAATTTTTATACAATTGATTTTTCAAATTTACTAAACCTATAGAAATAACTAGATGTATTTCTATATTCCAGTGGAGCATAGTGGGTTGTCAATTCGAAGTGCTGAGATTCTCGACTCGTCGCAAGAGGAAATTTTTTTAAAAGCCCGAGTGATATTGGCGATTCAACATGTATTTCTATCGCCAAGAGACTCTCTAACATATTTATCAAATGTGATAAGTGAAGCGTTTAAATAGTAATGGTGAGGGCTCTTAAAAAAAAAAAAAAAGTAATGGAGGTTTAATGCTAAGGTCAAAATCAAAATTGCTATCTATTATTCAATAAGGTCTACAAATATCGCATCGCATAAGTAGAACTCACGCATACATAAGAAATGGCAGAAGGGTTTATCAATCGAAGTGATTCGCGAATCAATTATTATTATTTTAGAGCATCTTATAAGATAGATTAAGATAGATTTGATCTGATCAATCTCGTGTGAATAATAAATTTTGCAGTGATTCAGTGATCAGCACAAAGAAGTATAATAGAACTATGAATAATTTATTTCAGGAATATTATTGCGAGATTCAGCGAGATATTTGATAATATTAATGATAATATTAAATGATATTTAATAAAATGCGTTTCTATTCGTACATAATATCATAAATTTAATATTAATATTCGTTATTTCGTTTTTATCATTTTATTAAATTATTATTCAGTATTTTAATTTTTATCATTATCAAAATGCGATCATTAATGATTGGAAATTGGTAAAGTTATATTTATTGACCGTTTAAAAAAGCAGATAGGAGAAGATAAGACTTATAAATCTGAATGATAAAATTTTGCAGTGATTCTGAATAATTTTGTTATAGGATGCATAATTCCGCTGGCATGCGACCAGTGCGAGTGTTTAGGATATAAGATGTGTTTAGGATGTAACAATGCAGCTGAATTTTTTCTTAAGTTTAAAAATACACAAGCCGCTAATTCTTTAAGAGTCCTCATCATTACTAGTTAAACTCGCTCCACAGGCTTGTCGTACTAGGAACTCCCTTGACGATAGAAGTACAGGTGACTCGCCAGCATCACCCAGAATTTTGGGCAGATTTACTTCTACGAAATCGCTAAGTAGAGTTCCAGTCGCAAATGCTTCTAAATAGTATTTATGTAATGCGATGATTGGTTTGCTCGACGGATTGCTGCTTTTATTTCAGAGTGCTGAAATGTTAGAATTCTATTTTCGATAAGTAAATTGCGAAAATTTTTTAAAATTTTTTAAAAATATTCTAAAAATTCGAAATATTTCTACAATTGGAAATTTCAAATAAGAAATTTTCGTAGATTTTAGTGACGTTTTTGCCACTTCCAACGATAAATCATAAAGACAAAAAAAGAAACCGTGCGGTAGAAATATTAGCCATAAATCGTTGGTTTATTGTGAGTAAATAGCATAATTCTATAAAAATATGTATGACCAGGAAGATCATTTCAAATTTATCATTATAATAATGATATGATAAGGAATGAAAAGGAATGCCAGTGATAGTGTCGGAGCGAATAGACATCTTGGCGATGTCTTAACTTTGGTGCAGCCAGTGGAACCAATCTAACCAGTATTGGTGAGAGCTGTTAAACGAAGAAGACAGAGCATCATAACAAAAATCAAGAACAATAAAAAAAGATTTCGGAAGAATTTTGAAATGGAATTTTGAAATTAACATGATAATAGCAAGAAAATTCCATAATGAATTCCATGTTGAGTGAATCCCTATCCGAAACTCCATCAATACCACTATTATATTTACCACAATTTTTGTAGTTCTTCACGCGCTACTCGTGATTAAAAAATTCCCATTTAGTATAAATTAGAAAAGACCTTAAAAAGAAATTAAATTAGTATAATTGGAAAAAATAGGGAAATGCAATTATAAAGGAATTATAACTTATTAAAACTTATAATTTTCAAAAATTTTGAAGTTTTAAAGGGAAAGTTATGCTTTACTTAATTCTTTTTATAAAAATGAATACAGCATGATATAATAAAAACAGATATAAAACACGTTTATTCATATCAGTGACCAAGGATTTGATAATTCCACCTCGAATTCGACAATATTTCCAGGAAAAATCAGATTTCAAAATAAAGTTTAAGGTTTAAATCTAACAATAAGAATGGAAGGACTATACGCGTATACCGCAAACATAATTTATTCATCCTCTATCCAATTTTCGTTCAATAATAATCGTCTATAGTTTCTGTTATTATTAATTTTTTAATCTTTTATTAATTAAATTTTTAAAAATATCGTTTATTGAAATGGCTTAACGCAACGAAATTCAATTCATCGTATAACATTAATAAATTTCGCTGTTATAAATGAATGATTAAATTAAATTTAATTTAATAAATAAATGAATAAATTTAATTAATTTAATCTAATAAATAAATTTTATGCTTTTATATTTTCTTTTCAACTTATTAAAAATCTGATAAAAAAAAATTTGACCACTAAAATGCAATTCCAACAAAAATTATTTAATTATCTCGTCTTATTCCGTTTTTAATTGTTTCTATAAAATTTTTTTAGATTATTTTCAAATATCTCAAATAAACAAGAAAAATATTTCCAATTATTAAAATATGACTTATAGAACGATTTAATCGATAGATACGATAATCAAATCATCGTCCCTTTTTTGTATTAAAATTATGGATTAAAATTTGAGATATACTTGGAAATCAATTGTATTTCTCTTCTGGAAGTTCGTTAAGCTAACAGAGGAAAGAAGAAGAACATTTTAAAGAGCATTTCAATAAAATTGGAACTCGCCTTTATTTTTATGCGTACTATTTCAATATTTCAATATTTTATTATTAATTAACCTTATGTAATCCAA